TTTGGGAAGAAGAACCAGGTGGATCCCGAGTCTGAGCAAAGCGCGGGTGGGAACTCAAAGGGTTCCTCCAGCAAGCAATAGAACTGAAAAGGGGAGAGGAAATAAAAGCTGAAAATACAGGTGTCTGATTCAAAGTCATCCTTCCAAGAAGAAGAGCTCCGCAGAGGTGTTGTAGAAAGAAAGCAAGAAAGCAAGAGACCTTTAGTATGTGGACTAGGACAACTCAGTAATGAAACTCACTGGAGGCCCTTGGGCCAATCACAAATACACAAACTGAGCTGCTACACGGGATGTTGTGAGCAGAAAGAGGAGACCCATGTGTGTCACCTGCGGGGTTTTTTATTTTTTGTTGTTGCTGTTCAGTCGCACAGTCGAGTCCAACTCTTCGCGACCCCATGGACCAGATCACGCCAGGCCTTTGCCTTTAGAAAAGGCAACATTTTATTTATTTATTTTGATTTGATTTTTATCTTGCCCTACCCTGCAAGCTGGCTCAGGGCGTGTTACAACATACAAGATACTGGGGAAAAAAACAATTTAAAACCCTAGAAGCAACTATTTCAAAAGTCTGACTCAGTCACAAGATGGCAGTTTCAAAAACTTGTGGTGTCCGAGTACATAGAGGTATGAATGGTCCAGGTTCTCAGAGTGGTAGGACCGTCACTGTCGGACACAGAGGGCTGATTAATCAGGAGGGGGACCTTAAAGTTTCTTTAAGGCACACCCATTCAGATGGGCCACACTGATAAAAAAGACTCGTGTTCTGTATTCATGTGGGTAGGGTTGCGACTTTTCAAACTGGCCTCTTGCTGGTTTCTTTAGTATCCATTTGATCCACATAAAATATTGTCGGGTATCATTCACTTCCATGCCATGGAAAGCTTCTGCTGCCCATTTCCACACATGAGGGACAGGACATTCTTCCCCAGGTCTGTTGGCCACCCTGCTTCCTGGGTTTCCAGGCCTGTAACATCTTAGGGGCAAGGAGAAATTCAACACGTCCACCTGTCCCGGAATGAAAGATGGCAGATCCATCTTGGATTCATGCACCTCGGACTCTGATAGTGTAAGCAAGAGCTAAGCCCTAGAATGTATCTTCTCTATTCAGGCTTTGGTTGGTCATATGAATTTGCTCCAGGACAGCAAGACTAGGAAATGGTGGGACTTCATTAAAGGTTTCCTGTTGATGTTTTGTCTTCCTGTTGACTAAGAACTGTGCCTTTTCTGATCCCAATAAAGAAACAGTTCAAGGAAAAGAGATGCCATAGTTGTGTTGTTGCTGTTTGGCTTTAATAGATGAAAATGAGTTTGCATCAGGAGCTACCCTTCCTAGTTAAGCTGGGTTTGATGTGCTCTCCCTGGCCTTCCATCTTCCTTTCCCCGCACCTCCAAGCTCTCTGCCTGGATTTGTTTCCTTCTCCCCCTCAGTTCCCTTTTTGTTTGTTTATAAGCAAATTGTGCTTTCTTCCTGATGATGGAGAAGCGAAAGCAGGGTTTCTGATGAGTGGGGTGGTGGTGGTGGTGGTGGTGGAGTAGATCCCCTCATCCCGAGATACCACCCAGCAATTCAATGGTTGAATCAAGGGGGAAAAAGTCATCCAGCTTTTTCAGGTGCCATCATCAAAATAAGCTATTAAGAAAGTGCAACAGCACAAAAGGGGGGAAAGTTGGAAAATGTATGGGAAGGCCTTTCAGAAAACAGATACAGTTACATAAAGGAAACACATACACCAAGATGCAAGCAAATTCAATGACTACTTGCAAGAAAACGTGAAAGAGAACATGACAAAAGAGCAGAATGACAATTGGGTCGATGTCAGCATATGCTCTGGTGGGCCACCACTGGGGCCCATGGTTTTTGGCAGGGCCCACTGCTGCCGACTGGCACCCCCTGTTCACTCACTGCCTAGTGCTGCAACACCCATGGTCCCTCCTGCCCGTGTGCCACTGGGGAAAGATCTGAAGGTAGCTGTGAGCAGGGATTGTGGGACGGATTGTGAGCAGATGGGGCAAGGAGACACAGCTCTGGGTTGCAAAAATACCTTGAGATTTTGGGGCTGAAGTCTAAGGAAGGGGGATTTGGGGAGGAGAGGGACTTCAGTGGGGTTTAATGCCATAGAGTGTTCCTTCCAAAGCAGCCAGTTTATCCAGGTGAACTGATATCTATTGCCTGGAGATAAATTTATTTATTTAATTTATATCCTGCCCTCCAAACGGAAGGTGGCAACTGTAACTGTGGCTAACAAAGCAGTAAAAGCGGTGGCGCAGGCTGTAAGTGCAGCCTGCATTAACATCTGGCCGAACAGCTGTTCGAGCCCCACCGTGGCCGGAGTGAGCTCCCGGCCTACGTCCCAGCTCCCGCCCACCCAGCGGTTCAAAAGCCCATTAAAGGGCGAGTAGATAAATGGGGACCTACCCTTAGAAGGGTAGGGGGCACCCTCCTCTCATGAGGTGTGTGGTGTGCGGCGGAAGAACAGCGGCAATGACGGCATGACGGCGAAACGGTGGCGGAGTCCTGGCAGCAGAGACGGCATGGCATGGTGTGGCGACAGGAGCCAGAAGAGTGATCCCTGGTGGCCAGCGGTGAAACATCGAAGCGGCCATCGTCAGTAGCGAAAGAGACGCGCGAGGACGTCATCTCCAGGCACGGCGGAACCTATAGGACACAGCCAGGGCCAAGAAGAGCGGGTTCACGTGCCGAAAGCAGCTACCCGCCGGAAGCGCCACAAAGAGACGTCCCGCTGGAGAAAGAGGACTGAAAAGACAACTGAAGCCAAGAAAGCCGGAAAGAGCCGCCGCCACCTGGGTGCTGGTAGGCTGTCCCACCCCCTCCTATAATGTGGCCGTAGTTAGGGAAGTAATATGTGATTAGCACCTCCAAAAATGTAAACCGCCCAGAGACACCCATGGGGGGGTTAGGGCGGTATAGAAATAGAATAAAAAAATAAATAAATAAAACAATAAAACAGTGCTGCCTACAGGCAGAGTTCCAAACTTTCTGGGGGGTGCATGGAGATCTCTTGAAATGATGATTGGTCTGCAGACTACAGAGATCATTCACCTGGAAGAAATGGCTGCTTGAAAGGGGGACTCTGAAATCTCCAGGAATTTCCCATCCTGGAATTGGCAACCCTGCCTAGAGAACTGAAGGGGCTACCTTCTGCTGTACACGATTTTTTTTCCAGATTTTGCCAGAGGACAGTGCTATCAAAACCCAGGATGTTAGCATAAAGCTGAACTCTTAAGGAACAGTGAATAAGGCCAAGGACCTTGAACTCATCCTTAGTTCCAACACCCAGGTTACATCCATCTGATCTTTGGGTAAATAATGGCAATAGCTAAACATAAGCTTTGTCCAGTGAGCACACCATGGGAGATAATGGGAGGTGTCATCCTTCATCTCTCCGGAGATCTACTGGAATGCCTATGCTCTTTCCACAGCACAGCAGCCTACTCTGTCCCCAGTACACCTTTTAGGAGCCAACCATTTTTTATTTGCTCTCTTCATTTATCCACAGTAATAAGAAAATGCATAAACACCTCTGACAAGCTTCCCAATTTGTTTAGTTTGCATATTCCTTTTTATTGTTACATCATCTTTTTAAAAATACATTAAACGACATATTAAATGACACATTTATTGAAATGCCAATGTTGATTTGGAAGGTGTTTTCAGAGTTCCTCAGAAGTTTATTATTATTGTTATTGTTATTATTTATTACTTTAGATTTATATCTCGCCTTGCCTGTCATGCAGGCTCATGATAATACACTGTTCCCTGTGTCTGAAAACAGTCCACTCCACATCCAGGCAAAAATTTTAAATTGCTCCCCACAAGTGCAAAATGCAAAACAAAGGCCCCTGCCACACGGCAGGGGAAAAGTCTCTTAAGAGATGCCGCGGCGGGATCCCACGGATCCCCTGGCCGCAGCGCCTTTTCTCCCCGGCGCGATCAAACGTTGGGGAGAAAACACGGCCCTAACCGGGAGCTGGCCAAACTGCGCATGTCGGAGCATGCGCAGTTCAGCTCCTGGCCGGGGTTGTGCCGGCGCAAGGATGCGCCGGCGATCAAACGCCCGGGTAGAAGCGCCGTATCCATTTGAACCACCGGGAAAGGGCCAGTTCGGGTACGGAAGCAGAACGCTTCCCAGATGTTGTGGTGTGATCCCGCTGCTTTGATCCGCCCCCGAACTGGCCCGCAACTGGCCCAAATCCCCTCGTGTTGACGGGACCAAAGAAGGGCTTTTTTATTTGTGAATGTTCCCTGGGAAACTCCATTAGAGAGAACTGGTGAGCAGCTTTAAGTGATTTTGCATCAACCTTGGGCTTTCTATCAAGATATGATATTATGCAATGATCACTATTTTTCATATACACTTGAAATATTTTGGCAGACAACACTGACACATGGATATCAAACTGCCTGTTTCAAAATAAGATGTGGCTGGAAGGAAGTCTATTATGTCAGGGTGTTTTTTCCTGCCCGAATTCTCCACTAATGTTTCTACATGTTTGCTGCTCCACAAACACACCTCTAGCTTTATTTCTTTATTACTCTCTTTTCCCCAATAAAAAGATTATTAAAACTCGTTCCATTATATCCTTCATTTCTTGAGATGTGTTGCAGGTGAACTCTGTGAGTGGCCTCCCTCCTCCTCCTCCCCCCCTTCTGACACTCTTCTGTTTAAAATTTTCTGCTTTCCAGATCGAAGCTGCCTGCCTTCCCTCAGTCACCCTCAAGACTATGGAAATGTTGTGCAATCATCTCTCTTTCTTTACTTCCTTTCCATTCTTCTCTTCAAACATTTGCTTCAAATGGGCTGAAGCGAACAAATCCTGGCAGAGAGCTTGAAGGTGCAGAGAAAAGAAGCTGTAAGGCCAGGCAGAGGGCAACAAACCCAGCTCAACCAGGAAGGGTAGGTCCTGATGCAAATTCATTTTCATGTATTAAAGCCAAACAGCAACAAAATATTTATGACAGCTCTTTTCTTTGAAGTGTTTCTTTATTGGATGATGGGATTTCATATCAGAAAAGACACAGTTGTTAGCCAAGAGGAATGAAACACAAAACATCAACAGGAAACATTTAGTGAAGTTCCACCATTTCATGAACTTGCTGTTTTGAGGCACACTCATATGACCAACTAAAGCCTAAATTGAGAAGAGACATTCCAGGGCTTAGTTCTCACACCATCGGAGTCTGGACCAGGTGAAGCTGAATCCAAGATGGGGCTGCCATCTTTCATTCTGGGACAGGGAGTAATGTTGAATTTCTACTTGCCCCTCAGACATTACAGGACTGGAAGCCCAGGAAACAGGGTAGCCAACAGGCCTGGGGAAGAATGTCCTGTCCCTTATGTGTGGAAATGGGCAGTTGAAGATTTCCATGGCATGGAAGTAAATGACACCCCACCTGGTATTTTTTGTGTGGATCAAATCGATACTACAGAAACCAGTGAGAGACCAGTTTGAAAAGTAGCAACCCTACCGGCAAGAATAAAGAACATGAGTCTTCTTTATCAGTGTGGCCTATCTGAACTGGTGCCTCTTAAAGAGACTTTTTGGATTTTGCCTTTCTCCAAAAAAGCCTAAGTTGTGACAGTTCATGCTATGTATCCATGACTAGCCCAAGGACATCCAGTAAGTTTCATTACTGACTTGTCCTAGTCCAACACTCAACATCTCTTCCTTTGTTTCCTTTTGCTACAACACCTTTGTGAAGCTTTTCTTCTTGGAGGGATGACTTTCTATCGATGACAACTGTACTCTTAATTCTTATCCCTACTCCTCATTGCAGCACTAAGGCTTGATGGAGAAACCCTTTGAGTTCCCACCCCCACTTTGTTCAGGCTCAGAATCCATCTGGTTCTTTATCCCAAAGCCGACTTCAGCTCCGCCACTGATCAAAAGGTTTAAACCGGTGCAGAAAGTACCATCTGAAGCAAGGTACAAGGCAGCCAAGGCCACTTCTTCTGGGGCCCCCAAACGTTGGATAAGCTGTAAATGTGCAAAACAAGGGAGCTAAATATAGTATTCTATACTCATCACACGTAAGGTAAGATCATGAAGTCTCAGAAGCTATTTGAGAGGGGCAGGATTTCCAGGGTGCGGAGTTCTAACTTTCAATTTTTGTATACACAGCCTTTCTTCTTGTTACCATCTTAGACGTGGTAGAATTCAGGTTGACAATTCCAGCTTGGGAGATATAGAACCAGTGCCTCGGGAGGGCACAGTTTGAGGAGGGGAGGGGAGAGAGCCCAGCAGAGATACTTCTTCCCATGAAGGAGAAGCTGAAGTCTACGAGCATCCACCCTCTACAGCAACTCCAGGACTTTTGTTTCTCCTACCCTCCAGGGCTGTTGTTTTCACCTGGGCACTGTTGCCAGGAGAATATTCACTTATTTTGAACATTTATTAGTTACCATTCTTCCTTATGGTTCTTGATGGCTTACAATATAGATAAAACAAGAGGCAGGACCCACAATACTCGTGGGGGGGAGTATTTCCCAAAGCTCCCGGCCTGCAGAAGCAGGAGATGTGGCAGCAGGTGAGCCCAGCCTTCTCCTTTTCCCCTCCCTCCACAGTAGCAGAGGCGGCGAGGCCGGCCTGCCCGCCAAACTTTCTCCCTCTCCCCGGTCCCCAGCGGTGGCAAGGCTGGCCCGCCAAGCTTTCTCCCTCCCCCTCCCTCCGCAGCAGCGGTGGCGAGGCTGGCCCACCAAGCTTCCCTCCCCCGCAGCAGTGGTGGTGAGGCCAGCCCGCCAAGCCTTCTCCCGCCCCCCATCCCCCGCGGCGGTGGCAGCGAAGCCCTCTCAGAGTGTTCCCTGTGAATGCACAGGGAATGCTCCTTTATTT